ATGCTTGCCTGACAATACATTGTATCAGAAACCAAATTAAAGCATCAGGACAATAAAAAATTAGAAGACAAGGGAGAACATAGAATTTATGATTGAGGGATTTAATTAAGAGCTTTTATTCAGAGGGACCATCGAGAACAGGATGGGACGGAAGGAAATAAGAGCATATGGAGTAAAGTTTTACGTAGATAAACTATTAATCTCATGAAACAAATAGTTTATATGGCCAATAACATGTTCATGTGTTACAACACAGAAAGATCATAAAAAGAGAAGAGACATTTAAAAAATACCCAAAACTAGTCTCTGATCCAGATTCAGACTTCTCAGATCTCTGATTCTCTGATCATCCCAGGTTGGACACAGAAGACACACAGGACTGAGGGGACACAGAAAATCCTGCTGGAAGTCCATAGAAGAAGTTTCCTGGTGGAACAGGGGGACAGCTGAGGACACAGAATAAGGAGACAGAGATCATGTGAAGTAGGTCCTTCAATAACAAACCAAGCATTGCCATAAAATCCTATGCTGAAATTTCACCTGTTCATGGGTGAGACGTTGAATATTAAACAATTTTAAAAACATTGTAGAAAACCGAGCGTTGGTTTCTGATCCCAGATTCAGATTTTGCAGCTCAATAATGTCTCTGATCATCCCAGGTTGGATCTCCTCAGCCTGTAAACCTCCACCTTCAACACCACCAGTCAGGTGGAGGAAGATAAGAGAACCCAGTTGACAAAAAACTTAAGAAAACCTATTTTAACCCATGTAACAATTTTAAACATGGTTAAAATTGAGATCAAATTTCAGACTTTTTCTTTTTTCTGTAGCTGTATATTCTCTTTTTCAACCCCGTTGATGTAAAAAAACAAACAAAAAAAATGTGTTACTTGTGCCTCAAACTAAGCTTCTCTATTAGTCTAATCTAATGGCTCATGGCTGCAGCATCTGAAAAAACATAACTATCAAAAAGCGAGAGAGTATTTTTTCAAAGCTATTGGTTCACTTCTTTAGAATGTTGAGATCAACTTAGTTTCTTTTCTTGTGCTGGTGAGACTCCACAGTTGATACCCCCTTATTCACATTTCAGTATTTTATATGTGGAACATGACTCCAAATTGTGCGGAAAATTTGTGATTTTTCATAGAGCATATCTAAAATATTATGAAGAAAATGCATATTGAGATGCTGAAACACAGAGGAACAATGAAAATGGTTGGTTTGCTTTTGCGAAGCAACTAATCCAGGAGCGCCATTTGTTTTCCTTGGCCCTGATTGGCTGTAACCCCAAGACCACAGACAAAGGTTAAAAGAAAAGTGGAAGACTGTAGATGTCAGCTTTTGCACTGAGCTAAGACCATTTATATAATTCATAATAATGTTTATTGATATTATCTTGTATTTGTTGTAGTGCTAAGATGGTTTCCACTCTGCACATTAATGGATGCTAAGATATAATTGGTGCTTGAACAATTAAAATAGGCAGTTGTAAGCATGTTTAGTTTGGGTCTCAAGTAGTTCCAGATTTCTGCTTCCTGTTTTTAGAGCGGTTTCCCCTTTGCTTTCATCGAAACGCACCGGCGTTCACTTAAACTGAACTAAGAGCTCGGTTTTAGACGGACCAGAGTTCGATTGTGCGTTCGCACCTCCCAAAACAAACCAGACTTTCTAGGCTAACGGAGTAGAGTTTGATTAAAGCGACAGGGCTGGTGTGAGTACATCTTTAAAAACGGTCCAGTTTCTTCTTGCCATACAATATTCCTAAGTGAACGTTTCAAAAGCAGTGTGCCAATACCGTTTCAGTAGCTCGAACCTCGGTAAGGTTTTGAACAGCGTTATGCCTTGCCTGTACTTTGAGACTAATCAGTTTTGAGTACAGATGACGCCACCTCCATGCCACCCTCCAACAGCTCATATGTTAGGTCCTTCATGTCGCCTCCCCCTGCTCATATCTAATTCACTGACTGCATCACTGCCTGTCCAGACGCACTAAAGTAATTCAAGTATGCCTTGTTTGATTTGGGCCGGGGCCTTTCAAAACTAATACCTGTAAGCCTTATAATACAGTAATTTGTAGCGGCTGGGGTAGGAGAACATGGATTTATCAATAACTGGGCTTATTGAGTTTTGATTTGGGGGTTTTAGCAGGCAGACGAGGGGCACACTGATGGGTTAGGTTAAACGGAGGTTACTCAATAAGGGGGTGGCTGTTATTCCTAAACTGAAGCAGGGGAACTTATAGCGTGTCTGTGAGCAGGCACTGACAGCCTCGTAGACTGACACTCTGTGTATCTCCCATGGGGGAAATGGGTAGAAGACATTCACGCAGCCACATATATGTGCACAAGAAAATGTCGGTATTTAGTCTAGCACACAAGGTTTATAAAAGCCCTATTATAATTTGCCTTTCATCTATTAAGCATTGACTGTGTTTATTTTATATGAAGGAAAGGAAAATTAAGTATTTCACAGGTAAAAATGTTAAGAGGCATGGATGAGGTAAAGTGCTGCGTACGTCTTAAGCATTTGCTGCCTCTCTCTGGTTTTCTCCCAGAATTGTCGTGCCGTTGTCAACAGATTTAGATTCAGCTCCTATAGCGTAACCGTGGGCCTCTGGGCTGCTTCTCTGATTAATGCTCTTGTTGCCTCATCTGCCAGTTTGGTGGACTTCTACGTCTTGGTAGGTTTGCCGTTGTGGTACCCTGCCCATTGCCTTCCTATGAAATCTTGCTCAGTCCTTGTCTTCCTTCAGCGCTCCGTCTAGCATTTAATTGACAGTGGCAGGAGATGTGACATTGAGTTCCGTGTTGTTTTTGAATTGCAGTTCCCCTAAGGTTTTAGTTTTGTCAATGGCGGCGGAGAAAGCGAAGGGAGCCATTCGGTCTGGTTTTTTGGCCATGCTTCCAAATATTGAGGGATTAAAGTCAAATGTCAGTCTGTGTTTTTTAAAGTGAAATTTGCTGCTGAGCACACCAGTCTGACTCCCCTCGTTCATCTTTTCACTTGTATTTACAGCTCTATGTTGCTGACCGTAGTACAAGACCGCGCCACTGTGAACTAAGTAACCCTCTGAAGAGAGGCTTTTTGATAAAAAAATAAATAAATAGGTATTGTGATTAGTTTGTATTAAGTTATCATTGACAACCTGGCTTAAATCCTAACCAGATTAATGTAATTGATGTTTTCACACCTGCATTTTTAACGAGTTCTTCCCTTATGCTCTCTGCCATTCTGCTTCCCTCTTGCTCCATGTCTTGACACCTGCCGATTATATCATGAACAACATTACTGCAGTTAGCCGGTACAATACAAATCTCTACCATAGGCCATATGTCTGTCGTTTCTACAGCGTACCGCATGTATCGCACATTCCTAGTCTACAATCGTATTTCGTTAATTGCAGAAGACTTCCAGCAGAAGATGATACGTGATGGATCTAAGGGGTGTATTTAATGTACTTCCAAACTTTTTATATGGAGTACAACTAAATGCATATGTGCCCACAGAACCACAAACATACAACCCACAAAGGGAATGCATTAGGTTTCCTGCTTACTGTCTCTGGGTCATACAGGGCTCCTGAGCCAGGAAAGTGGCTGCATAATGAGCAGCGGAGATGAAAGCAGCTCTCCAGGCAGCAGGAGGTACACTTCTTTGCACTGGGAAGCTTTCCTTTTCTTTTTTGGGAGGGCTGGGACTATCTAATTCCAAATCTCTGAGGACAAAACAGGAGCAGACAGAGCAGATGGTAGTGATAAGATAAAACCTCCTCCAGAGGGAACGAACGCAGGAACACATGTTGAATGGTTGTTTACCAGAAATCATTGCAACACTGGAAGATTTTTCTTTTCTATATTTCGGAGCTATTTAAAGTTTGTCAAATTAATCAATTACTATGGGGTAAAGAAGTATTTGATACGACATAGTAATTTTCCAAGTTTCCCTTCTTGAGCAGAAGAGACGTCTCTAATGTTAATTGCATTGTAGGTACATTTCATTTGCTGACCCGAGCAAGGGGACCTTGTATGCATGGCAGGATCTTAATCCATGATGGCACAGTGTGTTACTAATGGTGAAATTTAATATTTCTGCTGCTGGTAACCTTGGTAACTATGGCCCCAGCTCTCCTCAGGTCATTGACCAGGTTCTCTCATTTAATTCTGGGCTGACTTTTCACCGTTCTCAAAATCATTGAGACCCCAAAAGGCGAGAACCAGCAAGGAGTTTTAGGAATATTTCTGGAGCATGTAGGGGAATTTCATTGATTGATGAAAATATCCTGGCTTTTAAATTGACTGCATGGAAGAAGACAGGCTTTCTTAGACGTCCTCCCCGAGCTGTTGCCTAGCTGGAGGCAAAGTGCTGTGGAGTGGAGATGAGTGCAGAAAGATTGAATTAGGGCTGTTGTAAACGAATATTTTAGTAATCGAGTAATCTATCGATTATTCTTACGATTAATCGAG